AGTTTTCGGCATGTAGAGAGCCAGTTTTTCCAGCACCATTTGTTAAAGAGGCTATCTTTCTTCCATTGAGTATGACTGGCCCCTTTGTCAAAGATAAGGTGACTCAGTGTGTGCGTAGGGGCTTCAGCATCTTCTAATCTATTCCACTGATCCTCCGGTCTATTTTGTTGCCAGTACCATGCTGACTTTATCACAGTAGCCTTGTAGTATAATTTCAAGTCAGGAATTGTAATGCCTCCTGCCTTGTCTTTATTGCCCAGGATTGCCTTTGCTATTCTAGATCTTTTCTGGTTCCAAGTAAATTCCAGGAATGATTGCTCTAGCTCTGTGACATATGTTGTATACCTCATTTATTTTCTATTTTTCAGTCATCATTTTTATAAACTTTCAAGTATAATTTATGGAACAGACTATAATGTACGATTCAATAGGCTTCGACAATCATACATATGAAAACCCATCATCACAAAGTACAGAAATCTCCATCATGCCTTAAAATTCCATACTTTTCTAACAAGGTCTCTCCTTCATAGTGGTTACCTGCTCCCAGTAACCAATGATTGGCTTATGGTATGAGTAATGTACATTTTCTTTTATTTTTATACAAATGGAATCACAACAGAAATTCCATTGGGATTTATTTCATTCAGCTAAATGATTTGAATATTCATTTATATTGTGTATATCTAATGTTTGTCTCTATTATTGAGTAATATTCCATTATATTGTTGACAGACCCCTGTAATAAAGATGGATTATTGCAAGCTCTCATTTTGGAATTATTATAATAAGGTATCAATGAACATCTACATAGATATATATTTCATTCTTCTTGAATAATAAACACAGAAGAGTTGGAGCTGAGTCTCTGTTATGTTTAAACTTTTAGAAATTGGTGAATAGTTTTACAAAGTAATTATATCATTGTACATAACCACCAGCACTGCATGATAATTCTAGCCGTTTCACTTTTCCTTAGCCCTTAGCAGTGTCATCTTTTTGAACGTAGGTATCCCAATTAATGTATAATGGCATTCTACTATGATTTAATGTATGTTTCCTGATGGCATTATACTTTGCAGCAATATGAACATCATCGTAAGTACTGACTGGCCAATTTTTTTTATTTTTTTGAATAGCTACTTGATTCTTCTGGACTTTTTTTTTAATCTTATTGAATTAC